AACAGTATGAGGCTCTTCAGCATTACTTTAGAGTCGAAGTATTCGATAATGTATCAGGAGCAGACGAAATCAATAGTATGCTTAAACAATCCATTAAATAAAATATACCTTCTCTTTCTTGAATATATATTACCAACTTTTACGAATTTAAATTTAGAATTCCAGTCAGAAAAACCAAAAATTAGTAACATTTACCCCCAAATGTTGAGCGCCTGTAATTTTTTTTAAGTTGTTTCCTAAAACCTAATAAAGATTTAGAATAGATTCAATATCATAATCCAGAAAATTTTCTTTCAATTGATTTGGGTCCCAAAGCAGCTGCAGAACTGACTAAACATGCATTAAAAGAAACCGTTAGAAATAATATTAAAACAAAATGTCTGAATTTTTACATTGAGGCAGTTGATCAGCTACACAAACGATTTCCTTTCAATTCTCGTGAAACAAAAATTCTTCAGTTACTGACTATATTGAGTCCTCCAAATATCAAAACAACGGAAAGTATAGCACCTTTAGCCTATTGGTTTCCAAATCCTGTCAACGATATTAATACTCTAGACAGAGAATTTAGGCATTTAAAATTTTCAAATTTTGATTTTTCTTTAGATGAGACTGAATTTTGGAACGAAGTGTGTAATGAGAAAAGGGGTGATAATAGTCTTATTTTTCCAGAGCTTGCAAACTTTGTAAACGTTTTATTTACATTACCCCACAGTAGCGCAAGTGTGGAAAGATTATTTGTTGAAATCAATTTGAATAAAACAAAAATACGAAACAAATTAGGCTCCAAAACAATGAGTGGAATCTTACACAGTAAAAGATTAATTTCTCTAAATAATAACAGCTGTTTTAACTTTTCTGTAACTGAAGATATCATTAATCGGCTCAATAATAGCATGTATAAAGAAATTTTGATATGTATTATATACTTTATATACTTTAATATCCAGGACTTAATTTTTTTTTGTAATAAATCCAAAACCTATGTAAAACATTTTTTATTTCTGTTATTGTATGTATCTTGACTAAATATGCGAAACCTGGCAACTTCAGTTTTTTAACCTGGCAACATTGCTACCGACTTCTATCGCTACTATTGCTCCTGCTACGGTGGCGTTTCTTCTGCTTGGGCATTTTACTGGTCACTAATCTACTTTGTTTACGCGTATGTGTGAGTTTATTCGACACACAAACGAAGAATGGTTGTACCGGCGCCGCGGGAGCAGGGTTGCAACATTGTCGCTCTTATTTAGCTTGGATTACGTGTGGAATTCGACCCATTCGGGGAAACTACAAGTGTTTTATTTACGAGCGAGGCCCGCATATAATTATTATTAAACCATTCTGATAAAACATCTGAAAACGCCATAGGACTCCATTGCCTGGCAGAATAAATCCACGTGTGGAGTCCTATGAACAAAAAAACCACAGAATAAGCTTCAGGAGTTACATGATTTGGAAGCTTCGCTTTGGTACATCTGATTCCTTTGATGTTTCAAATAACAGCCTTAGAGTCAGTTTCAAAAGTTACTCATTTGTAGTCTCTCCAGGATTGCAAAGAAAATGTCTACCGTATTTAAGTCGTAGGGGAAATCCTTAAGCGCCAGAAATTGTTGTCGTTATATATATATATGTATATATATATAACAGAAATAGGAAAATAATGGGCAAAATCCGCAAAAAGTGGATTCGAGCAGAAATAGGATAGGTGACCCGAGCGATACGTATTTCTGCTGGTTGGCTTCATCAGGCCCAAAATGAATGTACATATGCAACTACAAAAGTAGATACACATGCCCACACATCCGGATACGGGTGTAACCTGAGGAAACGAAGATGGAAAGGAAAAAAAGACACACGAAGTCCACAACAAGAGCCAACCTACACATTGTAGTATAAAATGGCTAGCAGACCCCGAATTTTCAAGGTGACAAATAACCACAACCACGCGGCCGGTTATAGCCACTTGCTGTGGTACTTCAAGCCCAAAGGATCTACAAAGAGAAAATTATCATGCGGAGAAAGGTATATAACAAAAATAGGAAAATAATGGGCAAAATCCGCAAAAAGTGGATTCGAGCAGAAATAGGATAGGTAACCCGAGCGATACGTATTTCTGCTGGTTGGCTTCATCAGGCCTGAAATGAATGCACATATGCAACTACAAAAGTAGATACACATGCCCACACATCCGGATTTTGTCCATTATTTTCCTGTTTTTGTTATATACCTTTCTCCGCATGATAATTTTCTCTTTGTAGATCCTATATATACAGGGTGACTTCGAAGTTGAGTCATTTATTTTAACAGTGAGTAGATCTGATCAAAAGGAATGTTTTTTCCTTTACCATTTTTCTGGTAAAATTAAAGTAACAAAGTTATAGCCCTTTGGAAGTTTGAGTACCGCCCTGTCTCAATAATAATATCATGTACTCGTGTTTGGCGACAACGGATATAATCCGCCGTATCGGTTCATCGCATCGGAAACAAAAAAGCGAAAGAATTTGGAACGATGTTTTTACAATTATATATTTCATTCATTTGTATACAGTCAGTGTCAGTGAAAAGTGGTATCTGTTGCGTGGCTCAAACGAAATAAAAAATGGCACATGTTTATGCGGATCGGTTTCCCAATCGAGTGCAACCAACCCCTCGTGCCTTTGTTAATGTAGTACAACGGGCTCGTGAATCAGGTGACTTAAGACCTCACAGGGGACCTCACGATCAAATACAGGTCCGCACTGAAATACTTGTCGGGAGGATACTTTATAAAACAAGGTAAATATTATTTTTAATTTTTTTTTATTTTTACACACATATTTTGGTTTATCTTCCTTCTACAATCATTATCTGAAAATTAATGACTCAACTTCAAAGTCACCCTGTATATATATATATATATATATATATATATATTACGTTATTTGATAAAGTATAGGAAAATCCTCAAAAGACATAGGTGTGCATTGTTTTCTTGTATTAACCAACATTAAAAATTGCCTTTGTATTTGAATGCAGTTTATTGTCCTATGAATATTCTTATTAAAATATCTAATTTAACTACCAGCATATCAGAAGTCTGGATAATTGAGTATATCTAACAGTTTACTAGTGGAGCACTTTAGGTCTGCATCACATACTCTGAATTACCTAATATATCTTGTTTACGACGGCAACTAGTACTGTTGAATAATATATCTCATTAAGAACAAAATAGCGCCAAGTAGGTTGACTCTACACATCCCACACAACGCTGCCATCAGTTCATAAAGGATTATGTTCGGCACAAGTTAGCCAAACAGACCCATACAGTTGGTCCAACAGCCTCCCTCACATTTGTCAAAGTTGCGATCTATAATATTGTCCCCTGTCATAACGACAAGGATTTGAAGTATTAAGGACAAATCTATAATACGTGAAATATGTGTAATGGGTAGATACATATAATTACCGGGGCTGGAAGATGATAAATATGCTAACGGCACAGTCCGATCACTACTTTTCAAGCTATAGACGAGCCAATGATTAGCGGACAGACGGACATGAGTATCATGGTTTTACGTAATGTATATGTCACATAACATCCAAAAAAACTTTATATATATATATATATATATTGAACTTGATACGTGGTCATTGTTGTCTAGACCAGTTAGGTGAAAAATTAAAGCTTCCGCCTTTTGATGGGTACTTCGACAAAAATTTTAAGCAAGGAGGACTCTTTATACTTTTTTTATTCTCTCTAGCTTTCAATGGACTTTGCCATCATCATCAGGAGCTGCAATTACATTGATAATAGTAGCAACAATAGTGTAAAATGAATTTAAATTAACTTAACTTACAGTAGTAGGTGAGGATGTTGCTAATTGTTGTTTACGTTCAGGATGACGGAAACACCCAGTAACATGGTGAAAGCTGGATAAATGGTACAATGGTCAAAATTATATAAAATACACACAACTGTGTGATAAGAACAAGTTAAAAACAGATTAAAAATTATATATATATATATATATATATATATATATATATATATATATATATATAATTCTAATTTTTTTCCGCCCACCATACAATGTGAGGACCCCCAATGTAAGATTTACATACAAAGTAAGGACCGCGACAAAGTGAGGTCCCTATACGGACTATGCATCGTGTTCCCCAACCCCTAGTCATGAAAAAACAGATGGTCCTCAGTTTGTAGATGAAAAAATAAAGCTTCCGCCTTTAGTTGGGTACTTCGACAAGATTAAAGCGATGAGGGCTCTTTATACTTTATTGTTTATTAGTCTCTAGCTTTCGACGGGCTATGTCATCATCTTCAGCAGCTACAATAACATTAGGACGAAATAAAAGCTACTGTGTAAAATGATTTTAAATTACTTACAATAGTCTGTCAGATTGTTGCTAAATGTTATTAAAGGTTAAGTTGAGGGAAACATTTAGTAACCTGGTGAAAGCTGAATCCATGGTACATTCATTAAAAGTGGTAAAAAATGCACACAGCTGTATGTCAGGAACACATCACAACGGATTAAAAATATTTGAAATGAAAGTTAAAATTATTAGCATATTACATATTACATCGTGAACCATACACTTGGTGCTGCACAAGATGGAGTAGGACAGGATCAAAAGTAGCATGAAGCATTTGACATATGACAGAAGGCTGGTAGTGTCAGTTTCGATATATAGATATATATAAAGAAAAAATGAGCATGCGGAGAGAGGTATATAACAAAAAATAGTAAAATCATGGACAAAATCTGCATAAAGAAGGAAAGTGGATTCGGGCAGAAAATAGGGTAGATAACCCGAGCGATACGTATTTCTGCTGGTTGGCTTCATCAGGCTACAAAAGTAGATACACATGCCCATACATCCGGATACGGGTGTAACCTGAGGAAACGAAGATGTAGTGGGAAAAAGATATAATCACGCACGAAGTCCACAACAAGAGCCAGCCTACAGATTGTAGTATAGAACGCCTTGGCACATATTAGACACACGTCAGTCATCATGGATGTCCATGTACATTTACCCTTAAAACCTAGAAATATATATCTCGATCAATCACATGTCGATTTAATAAATAAGTTCCAGGGTCTTAGGAAGACAGTAATACATCTTTAAATTATTGTGATTGTAACAAGATTTTGAATTTTATCATTACTACGTTTCCACGGAAGTCTTCAATCATTTTATCAACCACTTACATCGGTGACTTATCTCTAAGTGTCTGTACTATACGAGTACATTTAGTATAAAAAGTCGATTCGAAGAGATTTTGAATTTACTTCAGGCCAGGGACTAGAAAAAAAAATCATGAAGCTTTTTGTAGTTATATTTACCGTTTTGATTCCTACCATCTATTGCCTCTCTGATCAGGAAGAATGGCAACAATTCAAAGTATGTATAAACCATTACTTTTTTTAGATTTTCATCATACTTTCTTGAATTTTAGAATATACAAATCGTCTGCGTTTCCAGCCATCGTCAATGTACGCTTTCTGCGTTTTGCAGAAAATATGTGATTTTTATCGCAATTCATATGCGAGGGTGATCCCATGAGCACCCGCAAGGGGGCCAGGGTAACCCGATCGGACCTTGAAAATTTATCGCGTTATGTTTAATCTTTTTCGGTCTTTATTTTCTAGCAAATGTTCGTAGTACTGTTTAATCATGGCTTGAACTGAAGTAAATATCAAACCTCAACAATAACCGCATGTGGAGCCGAAACATTTTTTCTAAATATTTATACTCCATGGGCAAGTACAGAACATGACAATACTTGTGTAGAAACCGTAAAACTTTTTTCATTGCTTTGGGTGCTAACTTGAGCATGAGCACCCGCAAGCGAGCCAGGGGAACCCGATCGGATCTTAAAAATTCATCACGTTATGTTTGACCTTTTTCGGTCGTTATTTTCTAGCAAATTTATTGTTTAATCACAGCTTGGACTGAAGTAAATATCAAACCTCAACGATAACCGCATGCGGAGCTGAAACTATTTTTCTAAATATTTATATTTCATGAGCAAGTACAGAAAATGACAATATTATTGTAAAATCCGTGAAATTTTTTTGATTGTTTGTGTGGCATAGGTAACGATAAAAAAATCCGCAAAGACTCGGTAATGCATTCCGAAATATACAAATAATTATCGGTTTTGCAAGCCAGCCAGCCGCTTACTTTGGCGCAGTGGTAGAACTTTATGCCTTGAAGACTGAAGACGGCAGATTCAATTCCTAACAATAGCAACTATTTATGCAAACTGGCATAAGGTTCCAACAGAAAGCTTACTGTTTTCCCTTTCGTAGTGGTCGAGCCTGGTGGCAGATGGCACTTCAATCGCGAGTTCAACTCATGAAAGCAGCAGTTATCTATCATTTTTTTTTCTTTACTCTCAAAATATAAACGACTGCGCGGTCGTGTACCTCTCCCGTTCATATAGAAATTGAGAATAACGTTATTCCCACATCTTCCTTCCCCAAGCACTGAGTTGTGGGCTGAAGAGCGGTATCGCTAATGACAAAATTATTTCAACTGACCTTAAAAACGTTTGTATGTACCAGACGACCATCTGTCCGTAACGAGCACAATGCTTTTTTGTAGGCGGCTATGTGCATTTACGTAGCACACCTCAAAGAAAAGGTACTCGATTTCAAACTCTGGACAAGCTAATGAGTGGCGTATTATCTCATCAGGATACTGCTCCCTGACGTACCTGTATAGCTAAGGATGCACTAAGCAGGCTTTGAGTTGGTAAATTACCAACCGCATTTGCGAGTCCTGGCACCTCAGTAATTTCATAATATTTTCAAAATTAAAATCACATCCACTAGAAAAGAAATGTTCGAGTAACTAGCAGCTGACATTTGCGGTAGAGGAGTGTTTTCCAAACAAGAGCTTATATGTTAGGAGGGATTGAGTAGAAAATGAAAAACATAAATTAAATGTAGCTTTATTGGAGGAGAGGAGCTTAGGGATCAACCTTCATAATAGGGTGGTCACTCATGACAATATGGCATTAATGAATCATTTTTTTACCTTAGACGCAACATGGTAAAACCTACAGAAGCCTCCTTGAGGAAAAAAGACGTTTCGATATCTTCAAGTCCAACCTCCGAGTGATAGATGAACATAACCAGAGGTTCAACAATGGCGAGGAAACCTTCGAGATGAGAATTAACCAATTTGGTGACTTGAGTCAGGAAGAATTTCATCAAATGCTGAGCTTGCAGAAAGACCAAATTCCGAGTCGCGGCGATGACTTTGCATTACTGGACGACAATGAAGATCTACCGAAAGAAGTAGATTGGAAAGCAAGGGGCGCTGTCACCACAGTGAAGGATCAAGGGCATTGCGGATCTTGTTGGGCATTTAGTGCGGTAAGCTTTATATTTCTTTTGGTATTCCCCCTTAGTAAGCCTTAGAATAAATTGAAAACATAGGCAGATCACCGACCGAGCGCCCTTTCAATGTAGAACAAGCTTGAGACGACCTCTAAGAAGTGGTGTCTTCAAGTACACCTGGGCACACTAGTTAGAGCATCACGGATGTTAACAGCATAACAAAAGTATTGCATTTTTCTGAACCTAGGATAAATATTGTGAAAGTTAAGTCGTTGAAGAGATGTCTTAATTCTAAACAGGTAACCATACTTATTTCCTGCAGCTGCTGGTGTTAACGGGACTAGCTGAAAGTACTAGACTACCACTACAAGGACGGTCTATCAACGATTAAATAATAAAAATATTTCCTTTCCAGATAAAACCGCGTATGAGAGGTTGATCCTTGGGTAGGATGAAATTTTTACAAATTGAACATCAGTGCACGTACCGCAAAGCGTGCGTTTCTATAGCATTTTTTACTTGGCGGTCCAAGTCCCATCCCTATTCTCCAAATAATGTTTCGCTGTTTCGCTATTCATCTTTGGAGAGGTGATTATTATTTGCCTAAATGTCATTTTATCGCAACCTTTAAAAGCTGGCCAATGAGGAAGAATTTTAAATTCCTTAATTGTTCCTGCACCGTCCTAGTAGTACGATACTAACAAAGCTAAGGGAGCAAAAATTCAAAATTTTTCGGTGATCTTTGGCAGGGTGTATTCCAGTTAAACATCGAAACTTTGAGAGAAGCATGCTGAATCTCCAATATTCTAGTTTTCATGTTTGTTAACCGAAAAATTGTAGGAGCAACGGTTCTCAAGCAATTCTAACAGACAGCACAAGAAAAATGTTTTGCAAAATATTTGACTTCTCCTTTTTAGTCCACGGGCTTGGAAAACATTTTTCCTGTTAATACATCATATGGTCGGGAACCCGTTTATTCAGCCTCAATATTCTGTATTTAAAATCTCGATATGATCATTTGGCTCGGAGATATCCGATCTTGAATGAAAAAGGACCCATTTGTCATCGACCACGGACATCTCGGTAGTCAGTGATCGCATAGAGAATGTAAGGGTATTTCCAAAAACTGTTTATTTATTATTAATGTTATTATAGTCAAAGATGTTACTTTTTGCCTTGTTTTGGAAAGTCTACCGCATTTTTACAACTGCCAATAAGAAGGCTACTGGTTTTAAGTTTTTACCTCAGTATATACCAATAACCCTGAATGACGGCAAATCGATCCATTGTCCGGTTTCTCCGGACCGGTTGGTCAAAGTTTAAGCAAATTTTGAGATGTATTCCAGTCTTCACTCCTATCCTTACATTATCTGTACGATCACTGGTTACCGAGATATCAGTGGTCGATGTCGAAAGTTAGATAGTTAGATATCTGTGTACCAAACGATCGTATCAAGATTTTAAAGAGATATCGTAGTATTGAAGCTAAATAAACCGGCTATCCGATCCATATGATGACCTAACAGAAAAAAAAATGTTTTAAGCCCGTGGAGGACATTTAAGAAGGCAAGACCGGAATGACTGAAAACTAGAATCTTAAGGCTTCAAAATACTTTTATCAAGTCTAGATATACTGCATCTCAAACATCTCCGAAAAATTTTGGATTTCTTTATTGCTCGCTTATTTTTTTGAATAGTGTAGTTGGCTAATCCTATTGCCGTAGGTGTATCATATAAGTACTCGTAATGTCAGGAAGAAAATATGGGGTTTTATGCTAATTTTATTAAAATTGCCACAGTCTGTTGTGGGTTTAACAGGTTTTTAATGTTGTCCCGACAACGGCGGTGATTAGTTGACCTTCATCCCGCAGATACTGACAATGCTCATATTAAATAATGTCCTAGTATTAGTCCAGCAAGCCGGCAGGTTTATCACGTAAAAACCTATAAAAATCCTGTTTGTATGGCAGTCACAAATCTTATCTGTTCTGCTACGCTATATAGACGAAATTCATACGGCCTGATCTGAGAAACAGTCACCGACAAGTCACCGACCACTGTAGGTCAAAAAAACCGAAAAAATATCAACTTGATGACTAAATAGGCTAGTGTACAGATAGTTCATTCCGTGCTTGCCACAAGTGAGCATGAAGTGGACAACCGCTAGTTCCAAATTGACGTCATGTTGGAAAATCTACATAATGTCATAAAAAAACCTATATAATGTCCAAAAAAAAAACGACATAATGTCAAAAAAATCTAACTTTTCAAGTTACTTAGTACCCCTGCTGGACGAACTGTTTCCTGATAAGGCTCGGTCACCCATTAAAACCGAATGAATGGCTGGTAGTCCCTTACTAGTCATCACAGTGCACCAAATTACTACGTCTCCCGCGGACAGGTTTGATCGTATACAAGTATTCATCAGAAGACATTTTACTGACGAGTGATGACGAGATCAAACGACACTTGTTTGTGACAAACTTAGGACAAACATTGCATAAGTTAATCAAACGACACTTTGATATTTGCAGGTAGGAGCTATCGAAGCTCAAATCTTCCTGAAGAATGGCACACTAGAATCTTTGAGTGCTCAAAATCTCGTAGACTGTGCTAGAGGTAAGTACGTCAACGAGGGATGTAAAGGAGGGTTGATGGACTACGCTTTCGACTACGTAAAAGATCATGGAGTGCTCACAGATAAAAAGTACCCGTACACATCTGACACTGGCATAGTGGGAAAATGCAAGAAGCAAGGGGGAGTCAAGATCAGCGGTTACAAGGATATCCCAGAATGGGATGAACAGGCTCTAGCAAAGGCTGTTGGTAAGTAAACGCTCGATAAACATATGCGGGCAATATATGTTCTTATAAAGTTATTTTAATGGGCAAATCTGGTATTCTCAAAAACAGCGAAGTCTATCCGTATTGTTTTCAGCTAGGATCCGCCTTTCCAAAAATTTCACCTTTGCGTTATCACTACCTAAAGATGCAGATATTGATTACGCAAAAAGTTGACGAATGGCTATAGTAAAAGGTTGGGTTCGTATGACGGGAGCAATTCGGTTGAAATATATGGAAAATGGAGGCATTTTTGGTTCTACCGGAAGTAGATACCAGCTTGCTTATTTTAAAAAGAACACCCCCTTCATATTCAGTTTTTGGATTCTACGCGAGATTAAAGATATACTCGTACTTGATGAATTTCATCCTATACTCAAGTCTAACCGTTTTTGAAATAAGTATATTAAATTTAGCGCAACAAATGACAAATGCAGGCCAACTAATCATAATAATGCTATAGTTATTATGTTTGAGCCACCACGCAGGTCTAAGCACTAAATACCCGCCCAAACGACCTCATTACATATTTTTACAATGTACGGGTTATGAATGAATGAATGAAACATGAAACTAGAGGCATACCGGCCACCTTAAAGAGCCAGCGCATAGGCCTCTCAGACGGGCCCTTGAGCACCTCTACATTTCTTAGACCTCAAGCGCGCCTTAAGTCCAAGCTCCTTAACGTCCTGGGGGTCCAAAGTGATGCACCTCAGTATAGTCTGCCTGTAGTAGCTAAGAGCTTCACAGCGACACGGAACGTTTGCCGAGGTCTCTTCTTCTACCCCGCAACGCTCACACAAGGAATCCTCAGCCACCCCCATCACGTGCAGGTGGCGCCATATCGTGTTATGGCTAGACAACAGTGCCACCAGCTACCTTAGGTTGGCCCGGGTTTACATACGTATTTGACGCACATAGCGTTTGTCCTATGTACGTAAAAGGATGCAGTACGTCAACAAGGCATACTATGTGCGTAGACTTTTCGCCAAAATGTACATGAACGTACTTAATTGGACGTAGTACGTCCATGGGATGTACTCACGTTTTCCACCAAAATGTACATTCTATGTACGTACATAAAATAATGTCCAGAATACGTATACAGGGTGATTCACAAGTCGTGATCAAAAATGAAACATACGATGGCATTTTAAGGGGGTCTTTTATGTAACATTTTTTCTCGAGAGCTTCATACGGGATGTTGAAGCGTAAAAATAAAAAACATTGAATTTCCTTTAATATCTTCAAAACCGTCAACTAAAATGAACTAAAATTTGATATGTGGATATACCTAAGTATTGTCCACATTCACATTTGCTTAAGACCAACGTTCACCAGTGGCGGAGATACAGGCGATTAGTGGCACTATTTTTCAAAATAAAAATAGTAACTTTACCTTCAATTTACTATAACTGATTACTCTTGTGTTTTTTTTCTAGAATGAACTGTTTTACGTAAAAATAAAAAAAAAACAAATTAAATAATCAGCTTTATTGCATTAAATGTTAAAAAGACACCATTCTGACGGGTACAAGTGCGGCACGTTTTTAATGCAGAGAAACATATTTCCGCAAAATTTGTTGTGGCCTGAATTTGGTGAAACGCATTTTCTATTCTTTTTGGTAACTGATCAACAGTATCATTTGTTCAGCATACACTAGTTCTATAAACGCACCCCACAAAAAGATATCCAGTGGGCTTAAATCAAGAGACCTCGCAGGTAAATGTTCATCATGAGAATTAATGGTTCCACTACTCGTGAAAAGCGATTCGTCTGACCTCAAAACCAAATCAATAAAATCTGCATTTTGATTATGCATTTGCAGTAACTATTCACAAATATTTTGCCGATGGTATGGATATAAAACTACCCGATTTAAAATTATCCGTGCAAGACTTTGGGATCATGGTAACTGGGCTGCAATCTGCCTAGTACTTGTACCAGGATCATCCCACGCCAAATTAATTACATCCAGTTCCTCTTGAACGGTCTGCTGGGCACCATGGCCTCTAACTCCGGGAACCTTGGTTTGGCGTCCTTTAGGAAACCTAAGTTGACACTCCCGAGAAGCCGCTACAGAACCCGTACCCAAAAATAATATCGGTGTACTCATCATTGCTAAATTCCATTTCAAAACACTCAGAAATGAAAAAAATGAAGTTTTTACTTGACTTTTACAAAAAAAAAACACGGAAGTAGTAACGATAACAACCGTATAAAACATAACCTTGACAAACTATCGCCCAAGAAACGTTCTTGAGTATCGAGTATTTTAGCTTATCTTTGAAAAACACTGTATATTGACTATGAATGATCATTTGTTTCCTACAGCGGTAAAAGGACCAGTCTCTGTGGGAGTGGACGCCTTGCACATGCGTTTCTACTCTAAAGGAGTAATAACCAAGAAATCCGGTTGCAAAAGCAGACGTGAGAATTTGAACCATGGTGTTCTTGTGGTTGCATACAGTGAAGATTACTGGCTGGTAAAGAACAGCTGGGGAAAAACTTGGGGAGAAAAGGGATACTTCAGGCTAAAGAGAAATGACGGAAACACTTGTGGTGTTGCCACGATAGCTTCTTATCCCACTTTGGACTAGGATTCTTTTTATTCTTTAAACTATTATTCTTGAAATAAACGTCTTTACTAGCTTTTTGAGGGTTTGCTTTTTATTTTCTACCCTAGCACCCAACACTCCAAACACCACAAAAATTATCCCAGCCCTGACGTTTTGACAAAATTAGTGGTGAGTTACGCATTACGAGCGAGATTCGCTTGAGGATCACTTTGAATAGACTATTTCAAAGATTGTCAAAAAACTAATTACTTTCATAGGGTTGCTCATAGTCTTAGTACACATACCAAAAAAGTAGTTTATAATACAACTATTCTCCGCTTTTTCTATATTGTTCAACTATCTTGTTCGCTGCCAATGGAGCTGTATTCTCAACATTTCAAGTTCTACAAAATAAAGATATGAGAATAATATTGAATAAAAATAATTACAGCAAAGTTCATATTATAAGAATTGCAGTGTTTGAATAAAATAAATTCCATATCATTATTTGGTTCTTATTTTTATATTTAAAGTAAACCATCAACTTTTGCCACAACATTTAGACCGTTACTCATTACCAAAATTATTACACAAGAGGAAATACAGATTTCCACTTACAAAATTGCAATAGTAAAATAACACAAATCAATATTTCAGAAGGGGGCCTCGGTTGGCCGCGTTGGTCAGAGTGTCGTGCTACTGATCAGCCGGCCGGCCGGCCGGGCCGCGAGTTCGAATCTCGCCTTCGCCATGGATGTTGTGACGTCGTGTGTTTGTCGTCCATAATTATAGAAATATATAAAATATCCAACCTAGTTTCTGGCTGCATGGCCTAGTCCTAAAGCCAAAAAAAAAAATATATTTCAGAAGGGAGTTCTTGAATTTAATAAAATAAATACTTGTAATTTGAAGATGTTTAAAATAAAATTAACGTAAGATTACCGTTCAATGTAGTGCATGCAGTGCGTACCAGGTAATTAATAAAAATTATTATTTTTTATCATGTAGGCTTCATCATTTGTTCTCTCTAGATCTCCGTTTCCCCAGAAGCCAATAACCAGAAATACGTATTCTCGAATCCACTTTACTTCTTTTTGTAGATTTTGTCCATTTTCCTTCAAAAATAGGAAAATAATGGACAAATTTCTCCGCAAGAAGAAGGAAAGTGGATTCGGGCAGAAAATATGTTAGCCGGGAAATACGTATTTCTACTGGTTGGCTTCATCAGGCTCGAAATGCATGCACTTATGCAACTTCAAAAGCAGATACACACGCCCACACATCCGGATGCGGGTGTAACCTGAGGTAGTGAAGATGGAGAGGGAAAAATCACCACAACAAAAGCCAACCTACGCATTGTAGTATAAAATGGCTAGAAGAGCGTGAATTTTCAGGGCGACATCTACCCAGAACCACGGTCTCCATCTTCGTATCCTCAGGTTACATCCGTATCCGGATGTGGGCATGTGTATCTACTTTTGTAGTTGCATATGTTTCGGGCCTGATGAATCCAACCAGCAGAAATACGTCTGGCTCGGCTTACCTATCCTATTTTCTGCTCGAAACCATTTTTCTCCTTTTTGCGGAATTTGCCAATTATTTACTTATATTTTGTCATATACCTTTCACCGCAAAATCTATTTATGGCATGTTACACATCAGTCCGCCATTTTGAACTTTGGAGTGCTGAATTTTGTACCTAAAAAAACTTACACGCCTCAGCTTTTATCTTATTTGTTACTATTTAGAATTTTTATTGTTGCTCATACAGAGTGGTTAAAAACGCGGCTTGTACTTTTTCTCAAAAATTTAAAATGCATCACCCTGTATACTTGTGCAAGTTTGGATTAAATTTTTTATAAGATTTTTTTGGTATAAGGTTTAATTCAGATAAAATCACTAGATTTTGAGCTATATAGCTTTTAATAGAACAACACACCAAAATTAAGGGAAAAAATCACATCATCCATGGAAACAAAAGACATGCAGTGGGCTAGTTTCACATTGCCACTAAGAGTACAGATTTGACGTAAAAACTAATAAAAATCAGAACTGTATAAATCAGCTTCAAGCGTAATAGAGAAAAACAACTATAACAACAACATAAACAACTATCACTACTCAAACCTAATCTACAAAAACTGCTCGACAATGTCTCCACTATGTTGAATACACAGCCGTAGTGTTTGGATAAATGACCGTTGCACATCCTTCAGCATGTGTTCCCTTATGTTCAGAAAAGCATCCTTAATCGCTTCCTTCATATTTTCAGAGGTAGATGGTGGATATCTATAAACCTCTTTCTCTTCATATCTGGTGATGTAGGAGACCAAGATATAGGCTCATCGCGACTGATCCAACGACTGCTACTACAGGTGTCCAAATAGTTACGCACAAGATGATGATAGTGCGCAGGTGCGCCGTCATGTTTGAAGTACGTATGCATCCGAGTTTGCAGGTTGACATCCTCCAAAAGCAAAGGCAAATGCTCGATCAAAAAATTCAAGTATCCTCTACATGTTAATCTGTTGCCGAAAGAGACAGGCCCGATAACTTGTCTGCCAATAACTCCTCCTCAAACATTCAAGATCCATTTATTTGTGGAAATCTATTTGCCTAACCCAGTAAAGGTCTTCCGTCGCATAATAGTGCATGTTATGCCTGTTGATAACACCTATGCTGATAAAAGTTGCCTCATCGCTAAAAAGAATCTTATCACTCACTTTATTTAGCATTATTCTACTAAACTCCATTCGAGCTGCGAAATCATGAGGACGAAGGCCTTGATGCAAGCATAGGTGATATGAATGGTACCTATGCTTGTGAATAGTCCTTCGTTCAGAAGTTGTGCATATATCAGTTTCTGCTCCAATTTGCCGTGCACTTAAATGGGGATTTTCTTGCAACTCTAATAGGACCTCCAATTGATTCACCTCATTGGTGACACTTGGATTATATATACATGTTTTACTATATTCCACTGCTCCACTTGGTTCAAAACGTTCTCGTAGTGTGGGAAGTATTTCCGGCCTTGGATGTCGCACATTAGGGTACCGTTGCTTATAAATGCGAGATGGTAGGAAACCATTTCTTTGGGCTTCGCCCAAAACGAACACCATATTCACAATTTCTTCTTTAGAGAAATACATTTTCAAAAACGTTTTTATTGTAATGCTCACAAAGCTAATTTTGACAGTTTGAGAGGATGATACGATATTTTAGGGAATTTAGCAGTTCCATAAAAGACGTGCTAATAACCGAAAAAATACCAGTAAAACTCGTATGTGTCTAGTTTCAAAAAAAAGTTGATCAATAATTGAATTCAAACTTACACAAATATCCAGGGTGATGCATTTGAAATTTATGAGAAAAACTACAATTTGCGTTTTTGACCACCCTGCATGAGCAAAAATTAAAGTTCGCAAAAGGAAAGTAAGTAAAAGCTGAGGTGTGTAAGTTCTTTTTGGTACAAAATTCAGCACTCCAAATTTCAAAATGACGGACTGAGGGGTTGCCGAAGTTAGGGTTTTTTCTAGACAAAATACCTTATATCTCAGTAGCTAATTCCCAAAACCCCATAGCATGTTAATTAAAGTTTGAGGCATTCGATTTGAAAAATCACAACTTTGATATGTACGTCGAAATTGGGATACACTGTATTATGGCCAATATTTTAGAAATGGTACCTCAAATGTTATGTATAACATCCCATGAATAGATTATCCCAAAATGTAGGTATTTGTTTATGAGTAATATTCCGTCCACACATGGATGAGCCACCCTGTATATATATATAGATGCAATGAATATACATCAAATTCTGGTGCTTCATTTTCATGATTTCGGATATTTAAGTCAATGCATACCAAGCTTTTGGTGTTCAAACTGGGTTCAAACCCCCATACAATATACACGTTATGTCTAAATAGACATAGTATGCCGTATACATATTTTTGTCAATCTAGTGGGCCACGGTCAACGTGACACCAAATGGGCAGCAGCAAGGACTTATTTTGCTGTCAGCTTCTTTGAACTGCATACTGAACCGCTTGAGAAAACTTCAGAAGATGAATGCATCGAGGAATGTAAGAAGGTATTGGAAGAGAAGATGAATAGGACGAAGCTATTGCGTAATTTTTTCCAAAAGCAAAAAGGCGATCCATTCTAACATATGAAAAATGAAGGACGTGCAGTTGAGAGTAGATTCACCTCTTTATTTTCATATGCGAAGTAGCTTTGCATGTGCTGAAACGAAATCACGTAACATTTTTCCCACTCCTAAGACGTATACCTAAGTTTTTGTTAATAGCAAATTTTGATAATCAAGGTCCATATTTAATTTTTTTAAGCTGTATGAAATGTGTATACAAAATAAGTTAGCGGTGGCCAATTTGTGCAACCCACGAATAGGCTAAAACACAATACTGGATGTTTCAGAATAAGCCTACTGATGTAAAAACAGCTTTGCGTTAAGCAAACAAAACAAAACAGCAAATAATTAAAAAAAACACACAATTCCGCCCTAGGTTTCTCGAAAAACTTCAACTAGAAAGATGCACTTCTTTTATTTCCCACGGCAATAGGCAAGGAAGTATTGTGATCGTGAATTTCGACAATAAGATATCATGTTTTTTCGATGTTACATGACATGTACAAGACGAAAAAACAAGTCACCCTTTTCCGTCAATCTGTCTGTATGTCTACCGCTCTGTGTGTCTGTCCGATAATCCTTAGCCACGCTGCACACTTGACGCCATTTTTTGTACTTGGTACCACAGAGGCAATTCTCAACAATGACAAGGCTTTGCGATCGTTTGCTTGCAACTTTTAGTGATTCCCTTCATATTGGAATACTTACGAAAAACAATGTCAGTTCCAGTTCTAAGAAAATCATTCATCTTTTATAACTGGTAATAATATTACGCGGCCTTTACCTTATCTTACAGCAGCCTATAAAAGACTAGCTCAGTCGAATTTTATGGGTTCATCGGCAATATTTTGACGGAATCCTCGACGTGATGGGTTTCAAAGGCATTTTCCTCCTTTTATTTTCTTTACAGCTGTACTTTTTTACCACCTATTATTTTTATGCTGTAAATGG